ATGATGCACCAAACAGTCCTTTTATAAACTCTTGAAGACGTGTGAGCCGTCTGCTCACGTCTGCCCTCCGCTCTCGACCAGGTCTCAGCGCTGTCTGGGATGATTCTTACTGTGCTGGGTGATGCTATACTGATGACGTCATAACGGGCAATTCTCAATTCAGCATTGGACGGTTATGATTTCCCACATTATTATGATGATGATTGTGGCAGATTCGTTTTTCTACATGAAGTCTAATCTCCTCCGAAGACCTTTTCTGGGGATCGTCGATAGATGGTTTTTCAATAGGAATCGTTTCCCTCGGATCCTCAAGAGATAGAGGGGGGGGTCCTGTCTTGAGACATGGAGCGGTCTCTCCTCCTCCTCCTCCTCCTCGAGAAGTCTTGAGAAGGGAGAGGGATTTTCGGTTCCCTTATTCTTGAGGGGTCTTGACAAATTGAGAGGTCCCTCCTCTTCGAAAGAGAGAGAAGTTTTGGTTCCCTTATCCTCGAGGGGTTTTGACAAATCGAGAGGTCCCTCATTTTCGAGGGGTCTTGATAAATGGAGAGGTTTTTCATCTTCGAGGGGGTTTGATAAAGAAAGAGGTCCCTCCTTCTCGAGGGGTCTTGATAAATGGAGAGGTTTTTCATCTTCGAGGAGGTTTGACAATGGGAGAGATTTCTCCTTCTCGAGGGGTCTCTCTTCCTCAAGGGGTTTTGAGGAAGGGAGAGGTTTTTCATCCTCGACGGGTTTGACAAACGGAGAGGAATCTGAACAGGCTTCTCCTCATCCCCATCATTATCGAGGAGGATGAGGATAGGCTTTTGGAAAGGTTTTTTCTTTTTCTTCTGAACAGGCTCCTCTTGATGCTCGGGGAGAGGGATGGGGGGTTTGTTCCACCATCTATTTTTTCTTGCTCGAGGATTTTTTCAAAAGTCGTGGCCTCTCTATGATGAGACGAAGGAGGAGAGTCCTCGAGAAGAATATAATAGGTATTCTTCCCAGTCTTCTCGATCGAGAGAGGTTCGTGGCAAACATTTATGCAACCATTCACTAAAATGAACGAGAATCCCTTTTGTCTTCTCAAGACGATCCATAATCCTATTCATTTGCGAGACGGTTAGAAAGTGGGACGTGTAAAAATATTTGGCTCGTTTCATTAACAAAATTTGTGCATCCAAAGGTGGAATGTCACGAGCCATCAACACGTTTTCGTCGGACAAAAATTCGTCCCGCATCTTTTGATAACTCCCCACGGTATAATAACCCGCACATTTTGAAAAATCGGAGGCTTTCAGGTAAACGACTCCTTGGATGATATAAAAGGAAAGATCAACATATTTATATTTGAAAGGAATACACGTAGTGAGCTGGGGATGCCTCCTCATGATCCACTTGGACAAAAATACGACTTTGGGGCTCTCCCCTTTTTTTTATAGAGAGAAAGAGAGTGTGACCTTCCCTTCCCTCCTCCTCCTCTCTCCCTGCTTCCTCTATCTCTGGACGTCCTTGGATTGGAAAGGGTGACTTTGAAAAAAAAAAGAAGGTCATGGTTGGATAATTTTTTGTTTATTAAATTATTACTTTCACTTCCTCATTCCCACACACATTCATCTTTTTAAGAAAAGAAAAAGAGGTCATGGAGATAAGATTTCTTGGAAAGAAGAGAGAGAGAAACAAAAAAAAAAACAAATAAAACGGACGTCATAGAGCCTCTATGTGTGTCTGTGTGTGTCTATATAGATATATAAAAAGACGAGAGTACTGGGCGAGATCATTTCTTTTCCATTGGGAGCCATGTCGCTATTAGACGTTTTTCCAACTCAACGGATTTCGAACGGGGAGGATTTGAAGACGCTAAAGCAAATCTCCAACTTGAAAATCTTTTTGGCGTGTCATTGTGCGACATTTATTCCGCATTTACCACCTCATCAAGCGATCGTTTCTTTCAACCAAGATGTCGAATCCTCCAACCTGCTCGTTCAGAATATATACAGAAATTTATTCGAATCGCAACAAACGAAAGAGGAATCTCCCTTCTCTTGGAATCGGATGGATCGAGCTTTGAGACGGCCCATTCAAACAGACCGGCGATATACAGGATCCGCGCACGAGTTTTCGGTGGAAGAATATTTTTCTCACGAAACGATATTTTTTACGTTTGGAGTGAGAACGACGGCTGAGGACGAAGTTCATATTGTTCAAACCACAGCCGCTCCTCTCGCCTATTACGAATCATCGTCCCCCAATCTGAAGGAAAGAAGTTTTAAAGTCAGCGACAGGATGAAATATAAGAAATATATTCTAAGACCTTTTCAAAACTATGTCGTTCCCCCGAAAAACGCAATATCTCATCGTCACAACCCAGAAGAGTCTCTTTCTCGTCGATCGGTGCTCGTACTCGCTTTGGAAACAATTGAAAGAGGAGATTTCTTTCCAATCGCCGATGATGTTTCAAGAAAAAGAAGAAGAAAACCCTCCGCCACCTTTACCCATCCCTTCCTTAGATGATAAGAGGAGCTGGACCAAACCGTCGTATTTCCCGAAACAAAATCGACCCGGCAACGGAATGAAATTGAAGTCATCACAATTGAAGATGAGGAGGAAGAAAAAAAATTACCTCTTAAAAAACGGTCGACTTACCGGAACCTACCTGGCGTGCAAGATCCGCTTCAGAATCCAGAAGCTTCTTCTTCTTCTTCTTCCCCGACTTGTTCAAACAGGCAACCTCTTTCGGACTCCTCACAGACAGAACCTCTTCCAGTATCCTCTTCTTCTTCTTCTTCTCCTCCAACCTGTCCCGACATCGTAGAGGTAGAATGTCAGCCGGGTCCACAAGTTCCAACAGGTCCAGAAATCATGGAGGCAGAATCACAGCCGGGTTCACAAGTTCCAACGGGTCCAGAAATCATGGAGGTAGAATTTCAGCCGGGTCCAGACATCCTAGATCCCTCCACTCATCCCAAAGAGACTCCAAGTGTTTCAAGACAGCCTTGTGAGGATCCAGCCCTTCCCGTATGGAATGATTATATGGACTTACAAAATTTGGTGCAACAGGAAGGAGAAGAAAATAATCATACGGATGGGTGGGTCAAAGACTGTTTAGATCATTTAACCTCGAATGAAATTGAACTGTTATGGAATTGCATTTCTGAAATCACATCGGAAATGGGATAAAAACCAAAACAAAAAAAAAAATTTTTTTAATAACAAATTGGAGGAGGGTCATGATGTCAATTAAAAAAAAATATTATATAGAGTCCAATCTTGGTGGTTCACTTCAGTTTTCCAGCATGAGGTTGATCCACGTTTCCCGAAAATATGGATCCCATTCCAAGAGAGATTGTGTAGAGCCTTCACTTCAGTTCTTTTTTTAAGATACCAGAGGAGAGGGTCCCCAAAGGGCTACCCATGTCCAAAGAGAGAAAGTGCGTAGAGCGTTTCATTTCAGTTTTTTTTTTCAAGTTTAGGGGAGGGAGGTCTCAAAATGACACCCCCCCCCATTTTCAAAGAGAGATGGTGTAGAGCGTTCATTTCTGTTTTTTTTTCCAAAGTTAGGGAGTTTTCAAATGGCTACCCATTTCAGAGAGAGAGAGAGAGAGAAGGTGTAGAGCGTTCATTTCAGTTTTCCAACATTAGAAGGTCCCAAAATACCTTCTGAATTCAAAGAGAGATCGTGTAGAGCGTTCATTTCCAGTTCTCCAAGATCAGAAGAAGAGGGTCCGCTTTTCCCAAAAGGGCTTCCCGCATTCAGAGACAGCGAAATACAGACTTCAGTTTTCTCCCTCCCCAAGAATAGAGGGTCCCAAAATGGCTTTCCATTTCAAAGAGAGAGGGAGAGGCGTTCATTTCCATTCTCCAAGATAGGGTCGTCTGCTTTTTCCCAAAATGGCTTCCCAATTCAAAGAGAGAGAGAGAGAGAGTAAAAGGGTGTGTAGAGCGGTCATGTTCATTCTCCAAGATAGGGTCGTCAGCTTTTTCTCAAAATGGCATCTCCCCATTCAAAAAGAGATCGTAACCAATTTTTTCCAGTTTTTTCCAAGATGGGGGGGAGAAGAAAACCTAGGATGGAATAACACGACACACAGAGAGAAAGAGAAAAAAAAACGCCATCTTGTCATTTTCTGATAGGGTACCGGTGTTCGAATACTTTTGTGACCGACTGTACTTTTCGATCACAACACGCCTCACAAACTAGGTAGCATTGTCAAACGTAAATACCGAGCTTTAATGTTTCCACCTTTTAGCCACTAGATGGCGTATCAGAGCGCTGGAATCGCGGATAGTAGTGTTGCTCGTTACTTTAATTATTAGCAAGACTTGGCATATTTTCTAGAGACAAACACAGAACATTGGCATGAAAAAAATGGGATAAAGTTTAATCACGAGAAAGTTGATAGGAATGACATAATTATATTAAGTTTATGACATAATTATATTATTTATGACATAATTATATTAAGTTTATCATCATTCTTCTGTAATACACTCTACTATATAATCATAAATGTACTACGAACGAAGTTGTCGTTCACGAAGTTTAGTTGCAAGCATTTTGATCTTTCAACACATTCTCAGAGAAGTTCTAACAGTCAGTGATACAGTTTTGTATCTCAATTCTACATAATTTACTCTGTTTCATTATCCACAGTGGCTTACATTTGTTTCGGACACGTATATCCGTACACATGCATTGAAATTTATTTGCATAGATAAGGCCAGATTTAAGCAGTGAGACTCTAAGCCATTTGAGATATGTGACACTTTTTTATATGAGATATGGGACAATTTTTTTAGGTTATAGCTTGTGCTGTAACCCTAAGTTATAGCCTTTGTAGCTTATACATAAATCCAACCCAAGGTCCGAACCTGCTTGTCTGATTTAGGATGAATTGCGTTCCTTCATTTTCTTAATTTTATGTTTCAAATTGAAAATTCTATTTGTGTTTGCTCTAGATTTTTCGAATACTTAGTTTAATATATGATTTCTGTTTCAAATGTAATTCATATTAAAAAAAAAAAAAATGTGTACATACCTTGTAAGCAAGGATGCAGCTCTCCAGCCACTGTTACTATGAACCAAATATACACATTAGGTTTTTAGTACGTTGGCAACAGTTCTACTACACGTTGTTTACAATGAAGAAATTTACATCGGTATAAAGGTAAGTGTTTCTTGAATATTTTTAGCTTTCTCTATATTCATAGTCCATATGTCGTTTTATATTTTTTCAATCTTATTTTCTTGATGAATTGTGGATATCTGTGTTTTTCACCCACTTATGTGGCGCGTTTTGTTTGGTGTTTTTACAAGAGTAAGAAGAATTTGGTGCTCCTTTGATTTTCTAAGTGAAAATGATTGATGTGTACATGGACAAAGTCACCACTCCTGGCGTAAAGGAAAGGTGATAATGAACCTGACAGCAGAATTCATATGTATTGAAATACTGATTTGGGATTACCAAGAAAACATCTGTCCTAACTGTTATCACCTGCAGTAAGTAAGCTGAACTAACAAACGGGAAAATACATCTGTAAAATAAACTATTTCTGAAAAGAAATGTAAGCATGAAAAACCCTGCATCTACCTTTCTTGCAGTATTTCCTTCAAATGAATAGATAATTGCAAACAAAGGAACAACAACTTATGTAGACATTACAAAGTAGTGAGACCACTCCAGGTTTTTATCCCTCTGGGAGATAGTATGAATGCAATCGAAAAATCCTTATCAGTGAATGTTTTTCATGGGTTATTTGACAATGCCTTGAGCAGAAAGAGGGATAAAAGTAAAGGGGCCAAAATGATCCCCGTCTGCCATTCTAGGAATACTGCCAATATTTCAAAAAAGGTTGATCTTTACATTATGGTAACTTGGCGTTTTTTTGGCGAAAATTTGGCGACCAACTCTCCTACAGCAACCCTCTATTTTTTTTTCCCCGCCGCCATTTTGTCTTCACGAAGTAAAGACGTGTTTCTTTTCTTTTTATCTACTGAACACTTCTTCCAACAATCTACTAGCCGAATTACACTTATGCTAGAAATTTTATCTAACAAAACTGCTTAATCATGACAAATATTCACTGCAAAATTGGGAAAAAGTGCGCAATACCATACTCCTTATGCGTTTTTCAAAATAACACATACACATAAACCATGTACACGCCGACTTATTTTTACTTAAAAAAACATCCCAGAATTGCACAAAAATGGCATTGCGCACACTCTTCACTATATCCATGTACACTGCATTTTCTCATAAATTAGAAAAATTTCACGAAAATACATGACAATTTTCTCAATCTTTAAACCCGGTAAAAAGAACATATATGAAATTACCTGATAGCGAAAAAGTATTTACCCTTTCCAAATATGAACATTTCCACATATAAAATAAATAAAATATCCGAAAACTTTTACCTCTAAATCATCTATTACATTATACATGTCACCAACGAATTCATACCGCAAGCATTACAAATACTTAGTATCAAATATTTAAATTATTTCCATGCACGTTTACTTAAACGTATACCAAATTGCTACAAACATAAAATTCACAAAATAACTATCATTTAATTAAAATATCACTAAGCCATGTACACGTCGACTTATTTTTTACTTAAAAAAAACATCCCAGAATTGCACAAAAATGGCATTGCGCACACTCTCTTCACTATATCCATGTACACTGCTTTTTTTTCTCATAAATTAGAAAAATTTCACGAAAATACATGACAATTTTCTCAATCTTTAAACCCGGTAAAAAGAACATATATGAAATTACCTGATCGCGAAAAAGTATTTACCCTTTCCAATATGAACATTTCCACATATAAAATAAATAAAATATCCAAAAACTTTTACCTCTAAATCATCTATTATATTATAAACGTCACCAACGAATTCATACCGCAACCATTACAAATACTTAGTGTCAGATATTTAAATTATTTCCATGCACGTTTACTTCAACTGAAACGTATACCAAATTCCTACAAACATAAAATTCACAAACTAACTATCATTTAATTAAAATATAATTAAATTCAAAAACTACTTAAAATAAAATGAGGCACATACATTAAATTAATAAAATTACCTTACAATCCTAATTACTTTAAACTAAATCATTGCTGATAACAATTTTCCCAATAATACCAAATTCCTTTACTTCCACCTTACATTTAGAACAATGCATAAAAATAATATCCTCAAATAATTAAAAATACTAACTTACCTAATCTTCTTCAGAATCTTGATTACGTGTCCGATAAACTTTTCTTTAGTTACGGCCATGGGATCCAAAAATTCACGAACACTGTTTCACACAACACAGAATAAACCAAATACAAAATTTCCAGATTTTTTCCCGATTTCCCCCCTTTTCCGATTCAAGAACTGTAATTCATCCATTAATATCACATGACATAGCCCATGATCTCTCATTTCCCTCACACAAAATAATGCGTAATCGGAACTGAGTACTGCTCACATTATTACCAAAGTCCCAGGTAGTAACCTTTATCGCCTCCAAAATGTCGCCAAACTACCAGTTACCATATTGTAAAGATCAACCTCAAAAACTAACAAACCTAGAATGCTGAAATTTTTTATAAAAATATTTGTTATTTATTTAGGAAAAGTCAGAAAATTCCAAACGATTTCTTCCAATAAAACAAAAGTAATCAACAATCAAAAGTGTTCAGGGGTCAAAATGACCCCTACCGCCATTCTAGTGTTAAATAATTATGTGTACATCCTAAAATATGATCAAGTGGTTGAGCATGTTTATTAGAAGAAAAGATAGCCAGGTATAGAATAAATGGGACAGTTTAGTAATTGTAATCAAGAAAATACGTTTTGGGGGACATTTGAGCATTTTAGAGCAAAATCTTAAAATGGTTGTAAGAGCAGCAGTTACAATCACACCGAACTGCAACGAGAGTGGTGTCTTTCATACACTTCACATTTAAGAACAGTTGTAGGCACAGATACTACTAAATTTGTAGTTATAGGTGTTGTTGCTAAATCCAGTTAAAAGTCAGTGTAGAATACAGTCAAAAGTCGTTAATTCGGACACCCATAATTCGGAATGATCTATAATCCGGACATCAAAACTAAAAACTCTCTGCGCATGTGCCGCGTTGACACATGCGCATAGGCATTTACGCGTGCGCTTAAGACCTTTTACGACTGCGCATATCAGTGTGCGCAAGTGCAGAATACGTTTTCGCGTGCGCGTTTTATGTATAATGAACGTATAAGCAAAAATTATCTAATTATCTATTTCAGTTAATGTTGATGATTGCGTTGTTCCTTAATTTTCGATTGGATCCGGCTTATTATTTTTTGTAGACCGTAAGAGCAATTTTATAAAAGTAAGCTTAAACTTTCGATTATATCAAATAGAATTTCCGATATATATTTGTTTATATGTAAAGGATCTAAAGCGAAAGTATGTTTTGAAATCCGAAATCTGTTTATCAATTTCACGCTGCTCGGCGGGGGGGATTCAATTCGGCGCGGCGGGCGCGTAATGAATTGGAAGTTGATTTGTCAGCACTATCCTTATCTTCAGCGCAGATGTTTTTATTTGGCTTATAATTCCTTACCAAATGTAGTATTTCATCTCGATATGCTCCGTCTTGATATGTCCGATATGATTTAAAACAAGTTCCTGGTCATTATAATTCGCTTCCGATAGCGAAAAAAATTAACAGAGGTTATTGAAAGCGAAAAAATTTCGATTGACAAATTAGTCGGTGTTCTTGACACAGCAATTATAGGACTTGAACAGCGGAACTTTGTAACTGAACAAGAAATTATGTCTGTTTAATAGAATTAAAGAGAAAGTATTATCGCATGAAACGAAGCAAAACTTAAACAACTTACATTAAAAGAAATGTTTAATAAAGTAAACAAATAAATATTAAGCTTTTTCTTTTTGCAAATTTTGATACCCTTTAGATCATAATTGTTCTTTATTTCATAAATTACGGTTTCATATTTTTAATTTTAGAATTTCTGCATGCCATCTTACGAGATTTAAACTGATGATCTATAATCTGGAAAAATCGATAATCCGGAATCGCCGAAGTCCCGACGAGTCCGGATTAACGACTTTTGACTGTATTTCTCTTCAGTGCTTTTCCTACCTCTTTCAGCATTAGCTCGCAAAGCTCAAAACCAAATGGCCCAAGCATAGATACATACGTATATGAAGAACCCCAGAAAAAACTGTTATATATATTATGTGACGTGACTAAAACTGCATGGAAATAGACTTAGCTGTGTAAAAGTGGAGAACTGGTTTATATATTAAAAATAATTCTGTGCACTAATTTTTTTAGAACTTATTTTTATCTTATTCAATATTTTTTTTTATTATTTTAATATTTTCAAACTGAACTGTAGAGAATGCATATTGATCAAAGCTGGACTATGTGAGGTTTCTTTTTTTTTTTTTTTTTTTAACTCTAAAATGCAGAGAATTGTGAAATCCAGTTTCTTGACACTGAACTTTGCATTTTCATGTTCTTTAAGTTCATAGAAATTTATTCAGCCAAAGGGGGGAGGAATTCATTTGTGTCTCTAAATATCCTGAAGGCTAAGTAAAATTTATGCAGAATATAAATAAAATTATTAAAAAAAAAAATGCTGTTTAGAGCAAGGGGGAATAAATTTTTTATAGCTTGAGAAATGTAACATTTTTTAATATTCGGTCTTTTTAAAAATTTGCTGTGTTAAGTATATATATGTTTAAAATTTAAAAAATTGAATAATTGGAAGACCCTAGCCGTATTTGGAATTGATTTTATGGGCAGTAAGTCTTTTCTTTTAATCCTAAATAAATTTTTGTTTTTAACCATTATTAATGCTCAAATTAATGTGCTTATCATGTATTCATTAATTGAAATATGGCCTTGTTTTGATATTATGATGCTGTGACAATGAAATTAAAATACTTTTTGTTTCTGTATCTGAATTATTACAATTTGTTTGCAGTATTAAATAACCATGGCAAAGAGTTTAAGGAGTAAATGGAAAAGGAAGATGCGTGCTATCAAGAGAGAGAGGTATGGAGTCAAAGAGCTGAAGCAATTGAAAAGTATAATTGAAGCTGCTGAGAATAAAGACGTTGACATGAAAGACATATGCAATGGTTAGTACATATTAGTTGCTTAAAAATTCCTTATATTATGATATATTATATATCCTCATATTTTCTCTTTAATTTAATATTAATTGGGTTTTTTTAGCATATTTTATTTTTTAATGCTAATTTAAAATCATGGTTAAAATATAAATGCTTATCATGAACAGGTTAGGAGATACTCTGATATTATTGCAACTGCCTTGATAGAAGTTACGAAACTGGCAGCCATGAACATAACTACACCTAATTCAGAAGTCAAACAACAAAAATCAGCACTATATTTTCTTTGTAGGACTAGTTTCGATGGTTTTACCGAACCACCATCCTCAGCTGCCAAAGCACAAATGAAAGAGATAGGATATAATAATTAGATAAGATAAGAAAGCCTGGACAAAAAATAAGCTAGTGGTACCATCTGTTGATGAAACCAGAACTAAAACATAATTTCTTTAAAGGCCAAAGGCAAAGATGGATTGGAATTAGGATCGTTAACTAGAACAGAAAGATTTTCATGAATGTGAAATGCCTCTAGAAAATCCAGTTCTCCAATGGAAGCTGTTTTTTGAATAATTTTGGCAGCAGAAAAATTGAAAGTGTGATTTTCGGACCAAAAATGTTGGGCAACAGAAGACTTCCTTTTTTCTAACATATGCCTCATGTTCCTTGACGCGAAATTTTAAGGCTCTCTTAGTTTGGCCAATGTAAATTAAACCACACTGGCAAGGAATCGTATAAATACCACAGGAATTCATATCCGGAATGGAGTCCTTGAGTATGGAACTCGGAATTTTATTGATGGGAGAATAAACGACCCGAAAGTTAAATTTCTGCAAAATATGTGCAACTTTGTAGCTAATTGATGGAAAGAAGGGAATGACAACAGAATTTTTATAATCTCCTAAAACAAGAGTGTGCCTTTTAGTGTGTTGAGATGAGAATTTTTTAGCTGCTTGATTGGGTGAAAAGCCCCTGTTAATAGCTATTGCTTTTAAATAATTTAGTTCTTCATCAAGGGATAGTTTGGAGGAGCAAACTTGAAGAGCACGGAAAACATAAGAATAAAATGAAGCTAACTTTTGTTTAGTCGGATGATATGATTTAAAGTGTGGTGGAAGGCAAAATGATAAAGGTTTACGGTAAATCGTAGTACTGAAGTTGGATGTGTTACGTGTGACCAGAATGTCGAGAAACGGAAGAGAATTGCAAGTCTCAAGTTCAAAAGTAAACTGAATAGCAGGATCAATAGAATTCATTGTTGAAAGAACTCTTTTTAAATCATCTTTATTACTTTCAAACAGGGTAAAAGTATCGTCTACATAGCGGAACCATACTGGGAAGTTTAAAGTTTCAAACAATTTTGATTCATAATAATGCATGTAGATATCAGCCAGGATGGGACCGAGGGGGCTTCCCATGGCTAATCCCTCAGTTTGCTTGTAATATTTATTTTGGAGAAAAAAAATGTGTTTGTTTCAAACAGAGTTGAGTGAGAGAAATTAGCTTATCAATTTTGATGCACGAGAAATGAAATTCGCGAAGTCTGGTTTCTAGACGTCTTAACACCTTCTTTGATGATATTTATTTTTGTTCTTATTTCTTGGTTTCCGCTGCACAGGATTTGCAGGCAGATAAAGGCAAAGTACCTTTATCTAAACGTGGAGGGGAAATAATGACCAAAAGGCTACTTATGCATTTTAAAAATTCAAATGGTTTAAAATAGTCAAATTTAAAATGCTGTATGTAGTACAGTAGAAATTCAGAGGATTTTGCGGATTTCAGGACAGAAAAGATAATATTCAGACTAAAAGTGCAAAATAAATAAGGCATATTAGATACATTTAATTAAATTATTATATACATTAATACAATAATTATATGCATTAAATTATAATTATGAGACATATATAAAGTGATTATATTATATTGTTCATTTACATTATTCTCCTATATTTTTAAATCAGCATTAATCTGCTTCCCCTTTTCTCTCAGGAGTAGTCTTGAAATAGGTATGCCATCACTCCGCCGCTGCCGGAGCCACTCGTACAAGACAGCATCGAGGTTTGCCGATTTCTCCTCATGTAAAGATTTCCGGTTTTGGATTCTGGTGTTAGAATCACTGTTGCTGTAAAAATTTGAAAGCGTCCATCTTTAGCAGAATTTACACTTTTTTCATTACGTTTTTTAACGTTGCAAGCAGTAAAATCACGAGTGTGTTTCTTATCTGTCATTGTATTAAAAAGCGCTGAAATTTAAAATATTCTTGATATATCCACAAAATATCCAGATAAAAAAAAACGACATTACTAAACAATCTCATGAAATAACAAAGCTCAGAAAGTACAACAGCAAGAATCATGAATTTGAAAGAAGAGTTGAGTTAATCATCTGCTTTTTGACCTCGATGCAGATTGGAGGGGGAAAAAACTCATAATGTCAATAATTTGGTATTTTCGTTATGACTCATTATTATTTGGTAATTGTGACATCATTATCGAGTAAGTATTTTTTCTTCGATATTTCGTACTCCATGTTGCGGTTTCCGGAACCTATAAAATAAATGTTTATATTTTGAGAGGCAGCGCGGATTTTCGGTATTTGACTGTATTTCTAAGCTGATCTTAATAATCCAAATGAATCTTCTTAAATCTTTGATTTAAGTAATCCAAATCCTCTTAAAATATGTGTAATGTTCTCTTCTTATTTTTCTTGAAAGATGAAAAAGTTGACTTAATAGTAATACATGTGTATTAAAGAGCAAGCAATCTGGATTACTCGAATGCTTATGGCCGCATAATATGCAATATTAGCTTATATTTGATATCTATCAAAGTTAGATAAAGTAGGTTTTTCTAGGGTATGTTTATTTTGGTGTAATTAACTATATCCATGACATGCAAATATTTTATTGCAGTAGTTCTGTTTCTAAGCCTAAATGGGCAGGTGATTAAGAGTTTAACCCATGTTCAATTCCAAGCAAATGGTTTGTATATGTGGTTCTTTTCCCCATGTATGACATGACTACAAATCAGTTCCCTTAGAAAGTTCTCCATAAAGGCATCCCTTTCCTCAGGCAGATAGCCATATTTAAATATTCTACCCCAGTCTTTAAGACTAAATGTGCACATATAAAAATATTCATTACCAAATAAAACTACAGTCAAAAGTTGTTAATCCGGACTCGTCGGGACTTCGGCGATTCCGGATTATCGATTTTTCCGGATTATAGATCATCAGTTTAAATCTCGTAAGATGGCATGCAGAAATTCTAAAATTAAAAATATGAAACTGTAATTTATGAAATAAAGAACAATTATGATCTAAAGGGTATCAAAATTTACAAAAAAAAAAAAAAAAAAAAAAAAAAAAGCTTAATATTTATTTGTTTACTTCATTAAACATTTCTCTTAATGTAAGTTGTTTAAGTTGCTTCATTTTATGTGATAATACTTTCTCTTTAATTCTATAAAAAGACATAATTTCTTGTTCAGTTACAAAGTTCCGCTGTTCAAGTCCCGTTAATTGCTGTGCCGAGAATACCGACTAACTTGTCAATCGAAATTTTTTCGTTTTCACTAACCTCTCTGTCACATTCTTCATGTCTTTATCCATTTTTTGCAGCAATTCCACTTTTTGTTTGTTGGACATCAAAACATACTTTCGTTTTGTAGATCCTTTGGAAGTTCCAGCATCGGAAATTCTATTTGACGTAATCGAAAGTTCAAGTTTGCTTTTATAAAATTGCTCTTACAGTCTGCAAAAAATAATAAGCGGGATCCAATTCGAAGATTAAGGAACAACGCAATCATTAACATTAACTGAAATAGATAATTAGATAATTTTAGCTTACACCGTCCGTTATACATTCAACGTGCAGGCAAAAACGTATTCTGCACTTGCGCACACGCATATGCTCAGTAGTCAAGGTCTTACACGCACGCGTAAAACGCATGTGCACATGTGCCAACGCGGCGCATGCGCAGAAAGTTTTTAGCTTTGAGGTCCGGATTATGGGTGTCCGAATTAACGACTTTTGACTGTATTTAATATTATATGTATGTATTTTATAGGACTTTGCTAATTTCTTATATTGAATATAACCATATGCTAACAGCCATTTATGTTAAGATTCATAAAGAATTCTTTAACCAGGCTGAAAGAAGAGCAGAACATGAACATTAATTGCAGTTTTAGGCAACAGCAAATTTTATGAATAAAGCTAACAAATAAAATTAGACCAAGGAGGATGATAATCCTATGAATTTTCTGTAATGCAGGAATGGATATTGCCAGTTTGATCCTTAAATTGCTGAATTAGTGCAGTTGAAAATTCATTGCTTCAAAGTGATAAATACTCAGAAAAATTGCTATATCACTAACATAGCAAAAACTAAATTATTGATTACTTAATACAGCAGACTGAACTTTGAACTTGTAAAGGTTACAGTGAAACACAATAAATCCTTTCAAAGACAACCACCTGTAACTTTCAACAATTTGATTTTCTGTGAAGATGGTATTGTTAGAGGAGTCAGCAGTCAGTGGTGATGATTTAAAATTTACCTGCCAACTGTCAAAGCCTGTCTATTTAGTGTCGTATAATTTATCATATATGCTTGCTTTGAAATAGCTTTCTTTTAATTATTAATTTTGTATTTATCATGGTTATATTTATTAACTCTTCAAATCTGTGTAGCTGGTATAATCAAATAGCATCAAAAGCAGTTTATTTTTGTGCTTGATGATTTGATTACAGTTAACTGAGTTTATTTGAAATTTGGCATTTCAATAAATTTCTGCATATTTTTATTTTATTTTTAAATTTCATAAATCTTAATCCTTACTTATAATGGTTACAGATTAAAAAATAGAAGTTTTAAGCTTAAAAACACAGCTAAAAGTTATTAAAGATATTGCTGGTCCTTGAGGAAAGTAGCTTTATGCAGGTTAATAATGATAATAAAATGCAGTTGAATATTACATTGAATTTTTTTTAGTATTGCTGATAGTCTGTCTCAGAAAGGATTAGTAAATTTCAGAGGGTTAATGTTTTGAAAGTTTGATAAATAATGTTACAAGAAATTTATGGTTTGAAATTTCATTTAATTTATTTTTTGTTTTTCCACAAAGACACTTTTTTAGTATTTTGAAATATTATTTACTTAAGAATATTTTTAAAAATTGTGTATGAAATTTATTTTTTGGTACATCTCTGTGTAATTTTAATATAATGGTGTTAAACTGACATACCATACTTCCAGAGCCGTACCAAGATATTTTGTTACCTGAACCAAAAAAGTAAATGTGTACCCCTATATATATATATATATATATATATATACAGTACAAAGTCTGTAATCCAGACTCGTCGGGACTTCGGCAATGAAAATTTTTGTAAAGATTATCTGGCTAATTCTTAATTGTTTCCCTTCCCAGATGCTGAATAGTGTTTCACATTTCGTGTTATCAATATCTATATGTTTACCAATGTCTGTCTATTATTACTAGTTTTTTTTTTTTTTTCATATTTTATAGTACTCTAATTTAAAAATTATTTCAGTTATTCCTAAAGGTGGTCTTACAAAACTGAATAAAGAACTCAATGAAACAGTTCAAGATGGTAATTATATTCTGATTTTTTAAAATATTAATTCTGTAACATTTTGTATTTATAAAAAATATGTGGGTTTTTATCGTATTTATTTTTTAAAAAAATAGCAGTTTCATTCACATTTCATTGTGAACTGTTAATTGCTAGAAAGGGCATTTTTGTCCTTTTGAAATTTTAGTGCATATGGGGATTTTGATGATTATTTTGCAAATGGATATGGACTGTTTATGGGAAGAAAGATACCTTTATATATATATAAAGACAGAATCATGAAAACTGTAATACTTAAGAACACTTTTTGTAAGAATCAGATCATATTTTCTATGGAAAGCATAATCTTAAGGTGTTATGGATAATAATTTGTTTAGAGCTAAAATGAATTTAATCAGAACAAATCAAGAACAATTCTAATAAAAACTGGCTAACTTCGAGTTTCTTATGTAGCCTTTGTGATAAAATGAAAAGTCACCGAATTTCAGTCATGAAAAATTTCAAAATAATAATGCGTGTGAATGCTAAATATTTATTAATATTTAATCTCTGTAGGGAAATAAATGAGATAAAATTACTTTTTATGCAGAGAGCTCCTTCGGAGTGTATAGTTTTCTGTATTCATTAATTAATTTCAACATATCAAAAATGTTTCAACTTAATGAAGTTTAGCCTGTCTGTCTTGATCCTCAATTTCTGAAAGTTTTTTTTTTTTTTTTTTTTTTTTTTTTTTTTTTTTTTTTTTTAAGACTACATCATTTTCTGGTTGGTCCCCTGGTTTAGTTGCTTGATCTTTTGCCTAATTGCATAATAAAATAATAGGAAAAAAAACAGCTAGGCAATCCTAGGATAATTCATGTCATCTTTTTAAATGACAAAATCAATCTGGGGCTTTATTTATTCTGAATGTCCCTTTTTTTTTTATAATTGTCAAAGCCAAATGTTGACCAGAAATTTTCAGAGACATCTGCATTTTACTATCACAGAATTGGAGAGATTATCAAAACTTTTAGTCATTAATATGTTTAATCTGAAATACATATAGTGTATTATTTATATAAAAAACCGTTTTATTTGCATTAATGTAAAGCATAATTATAGGTGTGGCAGAAAAAGAATCAAATGTTTCTCTCAGTAATTCCGAAGAAAATGCCATATCCAGTAAGTAAATAACAGTTTTTATAATAAGTGTTTAAAATAATTTTATAATAAATATTAAAATTCTAAGAATTTAGCCTGTCCAATTTCAATCCCCTCCCCATGTTCTCTCAAAATAATGTTTTTACATGAATAAAATTTATTATGCTACATTTATTTGATTTCATAATTGATTAATTTTTGTAAAAATATTAAAACTTGCAGTAAACTTCTCCCTTAAGTTAATATTTAAAAATTAAGTTATGAATTTTATTCAAATTTTCATTTTACTTTTCCCCAGAATGCCTTACCACCTAGATTTCTCATCTTCACAAAAATTATATGCTTTGAGTTATTTTGCTTTTTATAATTGGTTAAAATATTCTATGTACAATTTCTGTAGTATTTCTGTATTTAGAATTCAGTGCTTTTATTAATTTGCATACTATTTTAAAATAAAAATTTATTTATTTATTCTTATATATAACCTTCCAGGTACCATGGAAGTAGATAATCCTGGTTCTAAGTACCATCCTAGATTATTAAGAAATGAACATGGAAACTACCCTATTTGGATGAACCAACGAGCAATTAAGAAACACAAAGCCAAGCTTAAGCTTGGTCGTGTTAAAAAGGCTAAGAAAAACAAAAAGAAATAGTTACATGTTTTTATTTTCTGCTTGCTAACTTGTAAATAAAATAATAATAATACATTTTCCATTTTCTGTTAACTTTATTTATACATGCACTTATTTGTGCAAAATTGAAGCTCAAAATATTTATTTAATAACTTTTTAAGGTACCTTTTTTTAAATTGAATGTGTTATAAATTTACAATATCTTCAAACACATATTTATTTCCAATGAATTTTTTTATGGTAGGTGTTAGTTTTTCATTTTAAAATATTTAAAAGGTGAATACTCAAGAATTTGAAGAATACTCGAAGAAAATTCAAGTATCAAATTTAATTTTTGTATAATGAGTTGGCACAAAATGTTGCAAATATCGAAAACTATTGTAAAAAAACTAACTAGAAGATGAGAGGTTTTCCATAGTACCTGAGCAAACCAACTCTGTTCAAAATATAATAAAAGCAGATGGATTTTATATCTTTGTGATGGAAATTGTATGTAGAAATGCATATCTATACATATCTAACCTATATCCAAACTTGAAAATGAACAAATACAGGAAACTAATCTTAAATCAGGGAAATGCAAATTAAATCAATATGTGCATTCATCAGTCAAACCCTTATGGGCTAAACTCAAAATGGCACCTTGGCAAAATTTAAATACACTTAAATGGCATCCTCAAAATAGAGAAAGCTGCCACAGATAATGGTTGAAAACTTATAATGTACTATGCAAACAAATGTTTTGTAATTTTGAACAATGCAAGAGTTTGTTAGTATCATAAAGTTATATTACAGACTAGAAACCTAAGTCTTGTATTAAGAACAAGAAACATGATTCTTAATTAACAAACAAAAAAAAATAATCTTTTTTCAAATTAATTTACAGTGCGTGAACCTGATGACTTAGTCCATGAATATTTAGCTGAGTGGGACATGTCTAGCTCAGCAAAAATAAGGTCCATAAAGGCTAGTGCAATAATTAAATCTGGGGCTGATTGGGCAGTATGAAGAGTGAAGTAAAGAAGTATTGTCTGTTAACCAAAAAGTATTTGAATGGTTCGAGAGAATTAACCGTGTCTTCCAGAGACACTATAAATTAAAAACATTGAAATATAAAAGTTTGCAGTTGAAAAGAAACTTCTTGCTATAACCAGGAACCACATATAAGCAAAATACAAATAAAAAAGATTAGTGATAGTACACATTAAAAAACAAAAAGACACTTCTTTTATATGCACGTGTTAAAGTACCTTGTGTTTTGTGTTTTTGTATTGCACAAGACAATGTGTATTTGGAGGGAAGTGTCCTCCAGCACTTCACTTAATGTACGACCATGCATTCTCTAAGATAAAAAGTGTGTTTTATTTTTTAAAGTTTCTTCTGTTAATTTTGAAACATCCTGACTACATATATACATATACCTTTTAAAAAAGAAGAGCAAATGGTCTTAGCTTAAATACAGGTTTGTAATCTGTATCGCATGCATATAATAACCAGGTTTTACCTCGAAGAAGTCATAACCCATAGGTAGTACATGATATACACCGTATCTGCTAAAGTCCTTACCTGGCCTTTATTTTCACAACTGTTTGTTGTAGATATATACTTCCACTCACAAAAATCTTTTGATGCTAATATTCATGTTTTGGAATTTAAATAAAGCAATTTTATACAAATTGCAAGCCAGTCCCAGCTAGCATAACTAGCAAAATTTTATACTCCAAAAATAAATAAAAAAAAGTTGAGATATTTAATTTCAAAATTTGGGATATTTGATGGCATTTCCAGCTTGCCTTGAAGGAAGAGTTATAATATAAATTAAAATAATTCAAGATTGAATTCTTTTTTCTAAAATGATATTCTTATGTGATTTCTAATAATTTATAATTTTGTTACAAATGGTATGCCAAAAGAATTTTCACTTAATGGTTTGTTTTCAAATACTAAAAGTAAATTATTCATATTCTCATGAAGATTTAATACTTTAGAGTCATAGTTCTATTAAAAAAATAGAAATATTTTTTAAGTAACATTGCAAATTGAAGAGCACAAGAGGTGTTAGTTTTTCATTTAAAAATGTTTAAAAAGTGCCCTTAAAAGTCTGAAATAAACAGTTTAAAAATATTTTGTGTATATATGTATTTATTAAATTTGAAGAATACTCAATGCAAATTCAAGTATTAAATTTAATTTTAGTATTATGAACTTAATATGGTAAGATTATGAACTTTCGAGTTTTCATAGCAAAATTAATTTAAAAAAAGTGCTTTAGGTAACTATTATTTGACGAAATATTTTCATTAGCAAAGGAATATATATTCAGTAATTACAGATTTAGCATAATATGGAATGTAAAATGGAGCTTTCAGATTATCTGCTTATTTATATAAAATGGAGAACCCCCTGAAAAAGAAAAAAAATCTGAAAGGATATAGATTTTAACGTAGCGCCAGGTTTATTAACATTTTTTATGCTTTTATTAAGCTCGCAGTTTGTCTCTGCTCTTGGATTCACTCCTGCTGACACAACTTCTTTTTGTCTTTTTAATTTTATTATTAAACAACACTTTCTCTGCACTTAAACTACACAAAATTCAACCGTAAAATCAGAAATTTTTTTAAAACAGCATATCTTTAGAATTCCTGAGTGTTATCCTAGAAAGGCTATTTATTAATCTCGAACTTCATTTTTGCGTCAAATCGCTTATATAATCCTTTTAATCTATGGTCACACCTGAGGTGAAACTTTTAGACCTTATCAAAATTCTTAAGGTTGATATTAAAACTGATTTTATAGGGCATGTCATTGGTAAATTTCTTAAAGGTCATACCAAAAAATGAAAACTCCCACAAAATTATGTCCAGATATCTGGCTGAGAAGCATATCGAGCACTATGTAATTTTCCCCAAGTCGGAAATACCAGTTGCACTAAGAGGTCTGCATGTAGATTGTTCGATTGATAAAATTACTGAGAAACTCTTAACTTTAAAGTAATATATATATATATATATATCTGTATGTTATAAAGAAATACGATGGCTGTGCTAAGAAATAATTGGCGACCTCAAAATTAACCTTTCTAGATTTCATGTTCTCCCAAATTCGAGATTTTTCCATGTTACATGATACTGCTTAAAAAATGAAACTACAACTCAACATTAACCAATCACAGATTAGATATATACTTATGCATCTACTTGGTATAAGTACTGCATTGCAAAAAACTATGCCATTCCCTTTCCTAGCTTCCGCCATGCAGCATTCGCGATGCTTTGCTTCCCAGTCTAAGATACCTACGTCTTACTTTTAAAACCAGTGTAAATAAAAAGTATCGTATCTAACTATGATTGAATGAATGTCTACCAAGATGATTTTATATTTGTGAAAATAAAGATTGGTGATTCGTCAAAACCCAGTTTTGTTATCGTCATCTGTATGCCGGTCCACTTAGCCATGTCTAGCCATGACAAGTTAAAAGTACCGATTCCTCCTGCGCGATTAAAATACTACTTATATATATATATATTTTAATAGAATGCACCGCTTTAAAACCAAGGTCCCCGTGTCCAACTGGCTAACAAGCTAGGAGTGGGAAACTTTTATGATATTTCTACATTTGTGTAATTTAATATTCCGGTACTCTTTTACTAGATGAACAGAGGTTTCATAACTGCCAATTTACTCACTTATCCGAAGTGTGCAGGTTAAAACTTAGGTGCGTGAACTATGCCGGAGCGTGTAAAAAGTCGGAAATGTTAACGTGAAAAAGAATGAAATTGGAAATGCGAAGTGTTGCAACAGCCATACTGGAAATTTAGAGGTTGTTTAAAGTTCTCTTTTATTACTTAGGAAAAATCATCATTAAAATTTAGCCTATAATAAATTTTTAAATAACAAAGCCATAATTGTTAATAGAGACGATTCAGATGCTATAGTTCCCTATACAATCCATAACAGGCATTATTCTCCAAATGCTTAAAAATAAACCCTCCAAAATAATTACAGAAGTGTTACGCATGTGTAGCTTGGTGGTACGCCATACTACTCAATTCAGCGTTAAGTGTTACCATGTATTTCTTAGCACAGAAGGGCTATTAATCTCATTTTTACGTCTAAACACATTTGTAGTCCGTTTCATTTTCCAACTAACTTATTCGCTGGCGTGGCCAGCCGCCTAAACTAGTTACTATAAAAAGGAAAAATATACATAATGATAATAAATCCAGCTAGTGTAATTTCATAGGTCAAGCTGGTACTTGACAAAACATGTAAAGAATTGCTTTTAAATTGCTAGTTTATTATACAACAGCAGGCAGATTAAGTTTTAAAAACGATTCATATTTTACGCTTAGACAAATGGCAACAAATTGGCACGTGGAATTTAAAAATATTTTATATAATAGCATATACTTCTTTGAGGTTTAAGGAAGTAGACACTCTGCTACGTTGCAAGTAGTGAGAGTGAGGTGTAAAAGCAGTGGGATGTCCTCTAAAAACATTTAAATTTTTCTTTGTGTGAAAAACGTTAGAATGCCGCCCTATCGTAATTCTAATTGTTACTATTACCTGGGTATCCTGTGCTTTTCTTGTGGTGGTTTGTGATTTTGAAGTGAAATTATAGTGCTTTGATAATGTTAAATACTGCAGTAAAAATTTTGAGCAGTTTTGGAAACGTATATTTTGATAGTTTCAGTTTTTAAATCTATATGCAATGTTCTATTCTTTATAAATCAAGGAGCACTGGATATTTTGCAGAATTTAGTTTTTAAAATCCTGAATTTTTGTTTGTAAGAAATATAAATAAATTTAGTTTCAAGTCGCAAGTATAAGTCAACCAGGTTAAATGTGGGCTGCAGATTGAAAATGGATGCTCTAACATAAGGGTTCTCAACCAAGGGAAAATTCTCCCCTAGGAGGGATTTCATAGTTTTAGTAGGAGAAAGTTTTTTTTTTTTTTTTCGGGGGGGGGGGGCGTAACGTTAGAAGACAATCTAAGTCTAAATAAATGTATTTTTCAAGTTTTGGAAAGGAGGGAGGTATGATCTTTTAGCAGTGATGAAAGAGGTGCATGGGGCAAAAA